TTGGGGGGAGCAGGGGGTGGGTTCCATTGGGGGGATTTGGGGGGGTTCTGTCAGGGAGCAGGGGGTGGGTTCCATTGGGGGGAGCAGGGGGTGGGCCCTGTGGGGGAAACAGCGGGTGGGCTCTGTGGAGAGAGTTCCCTGCAGACCTAAGGACCCCTTCGCCGTGGGAGGGGCGCAGGTCGGGAGCAAGCTGGGAGGGGTGGGTTCTCTCGGTGGAAGGGGCTTCCTTGCAGGGTGAGGGTCTCTGCTGGAGTGGCGGCTCTGCCCCCTGCACTCCTGACACTGTTTGCCCACCCATGAGGTGCAGGCCCAGTGCCGACAGCCCGGTCTCTGGCTGAGGCGGCCCCCCAGCTCCCACGGCTGCTGCTGCACACGGCTCAGAGCCTGGGCCACACTGGCCACAGCCTGGGGGCTTTGCCACAGTCGCAGGTCTGCTCAGTGGGACTCAGGGACTGCACTTCCCTCTGCTGTGACTCTGAGCGGCCCAGACAGGGAAGTGAGAGAAAGGACCCGGCTGCCCGGCCCTGCCTGCTCCCAGAAGTGCACGCAGGGAGCGTGGGTTGCAGTGGGCTGGGTGGTCGATGGACTTCAGCCAGATCAAGACACGGCCAGGACGAGCCCCCAGAGGTCAAAGCTGACACCCTTGAGCTCGGCCTCGGCCCGGCGGGCACGCACGGGCCCTGCGGCAGCGGGAGGAGAAAGCTTCCAGCAATGCATTAGGCAGCTGCTCAGAGGCAGAGGGCGCGCGGGGCCTGGGAGCCGCCTTTACAAACCGATCTGCAGGGGCAGCTTACGAAACACGTGCAGATCGCGCTCAAAGGGAGGGATCGGGCGCAAATGCAGACATCTGGATTGACCTGAAGGCACAGCCTTGAGCAAAGCGGACGTGAGGGAAGCCCCAGCTCCCCGGGACGACGTCACGCACACGAGTGACACCACGCCTGTGGGTGGGCGCTTACGGGGGCTGCTCGGTGCTGCTGGGAAAGCGGGGAAGGGGACGCTCACAGGGGGCCCGGAGCAGCAGAGTGGAGGTGGCGCCTGAGGGAGGCCTTCCAGCAGGAGACAAGGGGGTGGTGGCAGCAGGCAAGGGAAGGGGGGGATCCTGCACATCCTGCCCGCAGCTCTGAGTGCGAATGCACCCAGAGGCGGCCTTGCTCTCGGGCCAAGGGGCTGGGCCCCTATGGCCCACCAGAGTGTCCCCCTGAGGAGGGACCCAGGGGAGCTGAGGAGGTCACTGCACCTGCCGTGCCTCCGGGGCCTGGCACGACTGTCTCCCCAGGCCAGCGCCCGGGTTCCGGGGCAGGGCTGCTCCTGCAGGGGCTGCCCACAAAAGGTTCTGGGGGAACCTGGGAGAGAGGGAAGAGGGCTGCTCATGGCTGGACTGGGCAAGATCTCACTTCGAAGACAAGGCCAAGGTCCACATGGCCACCCGCCATGGGCAGAGGGTCCAGATTCCGTGTCACAGGGTCTGAGTCTCTCCCGGCTGTTTTGATTGAGTGGAGTCCGCTCGTCCGTCTTGCAGAAATGAAACCCCCAGGCAGTTCAAAGTGTGCTATGCTAACACCTGCCAGCGCGTGCCCGTCACCCACTGACTGGGGAGGGGGCGGCCCGTGGCCCATGGGGAAGAGGTCTCGCAACAAGCCCACCCGACTTCCTCTCTTCGCATCTGCATTTTGGGGTCCCTCTCCCCCGGGGTCCTGCAGGAGCCCCGACTGCTTCAGGGGTCTGTGGTTAGCACCACACAGCCTATCGGCCCGTATCCCATTCCCATACCCCATATTCTGGAGGAGCAGAACAAGTCCCGCCCCCTGCGTGGTGCAGTGCCAGCCCCGCCTAGGGGAGGCGGCAGTGATGGGACGAGGGGAACTTCTCCCTGAAAGTCACTTGCTCATTGCTGCTGCCAGGACAAGCCAGGCCCAGCAAGGATACTGCGCCCTGCGGATCCGATTTAAGATTCCGCAGCCGACACTGGTGATCGGGGCTCTGCCACTGGGTCTTGGCAGTGGCTCAGACGAGGGAGGAGGGAAAATGGCCAAGTGGCCTCACCGTCGCCCCGGCCATGGTGGGGAGCCCCAGGAGAGGCGAGTTCTTGGTAACCGAGGTTCCCAGAGGGATGGGGCCCCCTGAGGCTTGGGCAGGGAGCTGCAAGGGGTGCAGAGACCTATTCCAAGCCCGCAGCTCTTCACCACAGTTCTTTCACCTGCCAGATGGGGGTGCTAGACTAGGGTTTCATCTTCCTATCAGTGAGAAATAGTGAACTGTGTCCTAACACGTGTCTGCGTTTGTTGGCAAAGTGCTTGGAGGTCCACCCTGCGAATGAAGGGTGCGTGCTACAGACAGCGCGCGGCAACAGGGCCAAGAAAGTCCGGGTGAAGATGACTCCCGGCAGAGGTGCTGCTGTTTTCTGTGCTGGCCACGCCCCCTCCACAGGTGGACACTTTGCTTCAAGGACAGCTGGATCAGGTGGTGCAGAAGGGCCCGCACGGTCCAGCATGGTGGTCACTAGCCGCTCAGGGCTACTTGAATTCGATACCGTGAAATAAACACTGTGTTTCAGTTGCTTACTGGCTTCCTGGGCTCAGGGGCTCCCGTCTCAGTCCGTGGGGATTTATGGGATAGCTCTGTCCCTGCAGAACGTACTGTCGGACCACCCGTTCAGCAAGTAGTCGAGATCACATAATTCAACATCTACCGGCAGCCTTAGCCAGGTCCTTGCCGCGCACCCAGTGGCGTGGGAAGTGTCGGAAGCAGGATCTCATTCCATCCCCAGGACAACCTCACCGCTGAGCTGTTGCTCTGCTTCCTGTGTGGGGGTCGGGGGGCTTTGAGGCCCAGGAGTTGCCCCCACTGCTCAGCCAGTTGGGGGCGGAGCCCAGCTTCCCCCGGGCCCCCCCGCAGGGCCTCCTCCAAGGCTGGTCACTGCATAGCTGTGCTTCTCTGCCCCACAGGTACAGAGGGGAGTTCCTGCACAGCCAAGTCCCGCCGAGAGCCAGGAGACTGCGCGGGCCGCCCTGGGTGCTGGCCAGGAGCTGCCGCCCTCCCCCACTTGGGGGGACCCTCAGGCAGGCTTCTCCAGATACGGCAGGTAAGGCTGTCCTCGGGGACAAGTCCAGACTGGGCAGGCAAAGGCCCACGGCCCCGGCATAGCTGCTGGATGAGAGGAGCCAGCCCACAGTCTGGCCGGGTCAGGTGCGCGCGGGAGGGCAGCAGCGATGTGGCGTCTGTGACACAGAGTGATGCTACACCGGCGGGGAGCGCGTGGGTGAGAGGATGGAGAGCTCCATGTCCACGAGCAGCCAGCGTCCTCGGGCACTGGCCCCGGGGGGCCGGGCCCTGTGGGAGGCGAGCGCCCCTCCGGGACTGGCAGTGGGGCCGTGGAGCCCGGGCTCCGGGTGGCTGCACCTTCCGCACTCCCAAGAAGGAAGCTCACCGGGCCTTTGGCGCAGTGCGGTTGGGAGGCTGTGGCGGCTCTGGGATTCTTGGGAATCCATGCACACGGGAAGTCTGGGTAGCTCTGTGGTTGCCACAGCCTCTGCAGCTGACCTGGGCGGGGCGAGAGGCGAACTCTTCTCTACTCAGAGGCAAAGAGGATCAACTCTCAGAGGCTGCTCACAGGGAAAGGGTGATTGTAGGCAGCAGTCACCGGGCAACCAGGGCCAGCTGCCCGACTCTGCTGGACCTCCACGCCCCCTCGCCATCTCCCCCGCCCCAGGAGCAACGAGTCTGGCCTCGCCTGGCTCGCTCGTGTTGGAGGGGAGAAGCAGCACTGTTTGCGGGAGATGGGAGACTGACTCCCCGTCCTGACCTGGGCTCCGTCTTGGGTCTGCGGTTTTGGGTCCAGGGGCCGGTTTGCTGGGGCCCCTCCTTTGCTCTGTGCGAAACTCCAGGGCCCCGTGGACAGATGACAGCTGTCCAGCTGCACAGCCCTCTAGGGTGGACTAGGGCAGCGGCCTGTCTTCCAGGACCCAGGCAGAGCGTAATTCAGGGTGGCATTCGCTCCTACAGCTGCATGGTGGTTGCAGATGGCAAAGGCGGTTTCTGGGAAGGAGTGTTAAGGGTCACGGCCCTGCACGGGTGCAGTAGGGTGGGAGAAAGATGGGACAGAGCTCTGCTCTTCCTGTGTTTCCTGTGACCCCCACCGTCAACTCCGTGCCGCTCCTCACGCGGCGAAACTGTCCACTGGGCTGTGCTGGTGACGGGTCCCCCTGGACGTCTCAGAGCGCAGGGCACAGCAGAGAGCCCTCCCCATACTCTCGGCTTTGTCATGGGGCCTGCCTGAGGTGGTGGCAGATGGCATGGATGTCACCTCGGGGCTCCGGAGACGCTGCACGTGCCGTTCTCTCTCCTCGAGAGCTTTTCCGGTGCGCAACCCACAGCCAGGAGGACAGGTCTGGCTGAAATCCCTGGGGCGCAGGGCATAGCTCAGGGCGTCTGGAAGGCTAAGAACTGAGGGGTGATTTCTGGAGCCTGGGAGCCCCACGTGAGGGTGAACCCCTGAGGGCACCAGGGTCCTTCCCGGCTGGCTCCTCACTCCTGGGTTCGTGGACCCTGTCCTCACCTTCGTCCTCATCAAGTCAGCTGCTTGGATTTTCCTTTAGGTGGGGTGGATGTAGCTCACTGGATCTCCTGCTGCGAGCTGGGGGCTCTGCTCTCCAGGGCCTGGAGGGTTCCATGGGAGTGGTCACATGGCTGCCATTGGTCCCACAAGGCGGGGCTTCCCCACCAGCTTTCTTCCCAGGACAGCTGGACCAAGCTGGACCTGGAGATCATGGCCGCATCTCTGTCCGTGTCTCTGGCCTCTGCCATGTGCACTGGCTGTGTTGGGATGGGGTGGGGGACAAAGATAATCTGTGCTTGCCGTAAATGTGGCATGGGGTAGGCAGACACATCGCTCACCTGCCGCCTTGTGCTCCAGTGACGAGTGACAGGGTGGGACAGCTCATGTCCCTGGCAGGATGTGCTGTCTGTGCTCTAGGATGTTCACACTGGGTTTTGCAGACCCAGGGTCCCAGCCCGAGTGCCAGGGAGCTGCTGTGTGTGAACTCCAAGGCTGGTCAGCAGTGAGGCCTGCTCTGTGCTCAGCATGGCCAGCACCCAGCCACCCGAGCTGGCGTCTGCCGGTACAAATGAGTGTGGGGCATGATGCCCCTGGTGACCAGCGGTTCTGATCTGGAGTGGAGGCCCAGGCCACTCTGCTTAGTACTGGGGAGGAACTCAAAGGGGGGAATGGTTTTATTTGGATAAATTTGGATTTTTCTGGACATTTGGTTGTAGGGAGAACGGAACAGAGGCTTTTTGGACTGGGGATTGGGTTGGTGAAGGCTCACGACCAAGGGGGGGCTCTGGGCAGGCAGAAAGAGTTAGGTGCTGGTGTGCAGGTGCGCCCTGTGGAAGGGGTGGGGCAGCGTGGCAGAAGGTGGGGGTCACCCGTGGCAGATGGTGAGGGTCACCCGTGGCAGACGGTCAGGGTCACCCGTGGCAGACGGTGTGGGGCGGTGCAGGAGACAGTGTCCCCATTTTCTGCTGCACCTCTGAGTATTCCAGTGTTGCCCGGCATTGCCAACTTGGTGGCTTAAAACACCCACGATTTGTTCTCCCAGTCCCGGGGGGCACGCTCCCTCCAGGGGCCCCAGGGGAGGACTCTCCCTGGCCTCGCCAGCCGCTGGTGGCTCCAGGTGCTCTGGGCTTGTGGTCTCGTAATTCTACCTCTGCCTCCACCCTCACAGGGCCGTCTCCCCCGTGGCACCGTGGGTCAACTACTGCTGAGCCCTGCTTCCCTAAGGACACTTTCCTAAGGACACATTTTGCCCACGCGAAATCTAAACCACTTTTATATTGAGATCCCTAAGTTAATCACTCCTGCAAAGACCCATTTTCAAGAAAGATCATATTAAAAAAAAAAAAAAAAGAAAGAAAAGGAAGGAAGGTCGCACTCCCAGGTACTATTTTTTTAAAAAAAATATTATATATATATATATTTATTTGGAGGCAGAGTTACAAGGAGAGGGAGAAGGAGATAGAGGGAGAGGTCTTCCACCCACTGGTTCATCCCCCAAAGGGCGACAATGGCCGGGCTGTGCCAGGCTGAAGCCAGGAGCCAGGAGCTTCTTCTGGGTCTCCTAGGTGGGTGCAGGGACCCAAGCACTTGGATCGTCCTCCTCTGCTTTCCCAGGCCATCAGTCAGCGGGGAGCTAAATTGGAAGTGGAGCAGCTGGGGCTCAAACCGGATGCTGGTGCTGCAGGCCGCGACTTAGCACACTGGGCCACAGCGCCGCCCTGGGGACCGCTACTTAGCTGCCTTCCACCGCTCCCGTGCCTGGGAACACACAGAAGCGACCGTATAGTGAGTTTCTAAACAAGACAGGTGACCCAGCGGGAATGCTGTCACCATTTGTACACAGCTCCTGCTGGAAAGTTCTAGCGCAAGCCTAAAGCGAACCTACATCGTAACATCACCCACCACCCGCGGGCGTGGGCCACACTTGTCCCAGTCACTGCGGTGGCTACGCGGCCCGTGGCTTCCTTGTAGGGAGAACGCCCAGTGGCCGGCTGGATGGGGTGTGGGCAGGGCTCCGCCCTCGCGAGCTGTGTGGACTGTGCTGGTCAGAGATGAAGTCCAGCCACCGCCTGGCTCGTGCAGCTTCATTCTGTGACCCTGGGGTTGTGTCAGCCCCGAGCAAGGGACATCTGTGTTGCCCGCTCCTCCCCAACAGGGGGCGCCATTCCACAACCCCAGAGCAGTGGGCGCCTCTCCTAACTTAAGCCTGCACCCGGGGCTGCAAAGTGAGCAGGGGGACCTGGCTTTCCCACGGCCTTTCCCCCACTTCCTGCCTTTGAGAGGTTCTCTAGGCTTCAGGGCAGGAGTCCACGCCTGCCCACGCGGACACGGCAAGGCGGGGGAGGCCCACAGGTGCTGAACTTGCCCCCGTGTGGGGAAACAGGATGGCTACGAAAGGGCAGGCGTGGGCCTGCAGGACGTGGTCAGAGCCGTGGCCCGTGGAATGCCCATCACCACCTGCTTCTTACTGAAGTCTCAGCGAACAAGCAGGGAGCTGTCAGGGCGGCCTGAGAGGCCCAGGTCAGCAGGTCCTGACGGACACCACCAAGTCGGAGGGTGGGGCAGGGAAGCAGAGCAAAGCCCACCTGGAAGCTCCAGGGGCAGGGGCTTTATCACCACCACCCGCCAGCATCCATACCGCTCAGCAGAGTGACAGGCACCCCAGGGCCCTGGGGGTTTGGAGACAAAGTAACTCCAGAGGAATCTGGAGCTGGGCTTTGCTCCTGCACCATTTGCAAGGGACTTCCTCTGACCCGGGTCAGAGCTGCGTGCTGTGTGTGTGTGTTTGTGTGTGTGCGCACTTGGGTACACCATGCGTGTGCCTGTCAGTGTGCATGCGTGCTGGGGCGGGGCTAGGGGAAGGAGACCCAGTTTTCCATGGGAAGGTGGTGATGAGGTGGTCGCTCCTGGGTGCCCCGGGGAATGTAGCTGGGGGAACTTGATGGACTCCAAGCCCCGCACAGACGTTGAGGATGACCTGGTGGGTGGGGGGTGTTGCTTGTTAAAAGGCGGGGAAACTACAGCTCCTAATCCTTGCAGGCCAACTAGGATCAACCAAGCGCTCAGGACACTTGTGTCCAGGCATC